TATCTATCTATCTATCTATCTATCTATCTATCTATCTATCTATCTATCTATCTATCTATCTATCTATCTATCTATCTATATTTATGTATATATATATTTTTTTTCATTGTTGTTTAAAGAACGAAAGATTTTAAAAAAGTTGTTTTTTTATCAATTCATTCTTGGGTCAGACTTTACAGGGTTACTAGTGAAGAAAAAACATTTTTAGGTTAAGGGACCAGAAACCATTGGACGTTTTAGAATAACTTACCCTTTCTTATTAATAATGTTTGTTGTTGTTTTCCTAAGCAGAAATACCGGTCCATATTTCAGTGTGCATGTATTTGCATTATTTAACTGCCAACTAAATCCAAAGAAAAATTACGAATTTTTTTTATAGATTGACGGATATTTACTCATTGATTTCTTATTGTTTGGATCTGTCTGCAGGTGTCCGGACGGCCCTCGCCCGAGCACCATGCGGCCCTGTCAGCTGCCCTGCAAGAAAGACTGCATCGTGACCCCGTACAGCAACTGGACAGACTGTCCAGTCACCTGTGATGCAGGTTGGTGACCGCCTGGATTGTGACACACGACAGAAGTGGGAATAATAACAACAAAGATTGATAATCGACTAATCTTTTTTTTTTTTTTACCCTCTCGCGACCACTTAAAATTGACTATATTGACCAGTTGTACAGTTAGGACCCTTCACTATGCCAAGTAAATACAGACAGTCTTGTCTCATCTCGTGTAATTAATGTGACAGTACAGGACAAGCGCTCCCGTCAGAGAGGTCACCTTTGTCGTCCGAGCTGTTGAGCGGCGGCGAAAAAAAAACATCCAATTGATTTACGACCGCAAATCATTACCGGCCATATTCCGCCGGCCCCGGCCAAATCTCGGCGAAGGGCTTTGCATTTTAATTCGCTGTTGATGTTGATGTTCTCACCCATTCGCAGACAATCGCACACCGCCCACACACAAAGGCTTCAGGCCTATCCACCGGCCCGTTTCATCTTAATGAACTACTCGAGGGCATCGTTGCACGTTTTTAAAATACCAGGAATTTAATCTGAGTAAATACCGACGTCTAATGGGATTTTTTTTCTCTCTACCCCTCATCTTTGTTGGCTTGCCGTCCGCAGTAATCAGATGAACGTGTTGTCCGAGATAACTTGTCCAATTAGATTTGGCAACCGGCAGTCTTGACGGAGCAGCCCGGCTTATCATTTTGACATTTTTCCCCGTCCGGACAATTCCTTTTCTTAGATTTTAATTCGGTAATTGTCTGTGTGTCTGTTCAGCCGGCAACGCCGTGAAGAAAAAGCAATCGAGGAAACGTCTTATCATCCAGACGCCTTCCAACGGGGGGCAGGAGTGTCCAGAGGTGCTCGAGGAGGAGAAGGACTGCGAAGTCCCCAAAGCCTGTCCGGGATTCAGGTAAAGATCCCAGATCAGAGCGAAAAAGAACGGGTTTATGGGCATTTGGAAACACTCGGTCCCGATCCTTGCTTCTAAAGCCCCTCTGCGGTCGTCTTTCAACTGTTTTTCGCTGGGTTTAGACGTTTTTCTTGTCTGCTGTGTCTGTAATCCCAGGCTGGCTCGAGGTCAGGCTTCTGTGGGAGCCCGACCATCTGTTGTCACACTGCTTTGTGTTTCTTTGCTTTGCAGGCACGTTTAGCACCGCGTAGGGGATTCTCACATTTCTCTCTACGTTCACTTAAAGCTGAGAATCTGTCGTTTTATACACGGCCTATTTATGGAGTTTCGACCTATTTCGGGGTGCTGAGTCACCGTATAGACTTGAGGACTGTATTTCCGTGCAATTTATTTGACTGACAAATTCAGTCCAGTCATCCTTCACCCAAGAGTTCTGCTGCAGTCAGTCATTTATCTTAAACCACATATTTATTCTCAACTTTTTGCAGTGGCAGATTCAAGGGCAAAATATTTAACTTGAATATTTGGATTGGACCTGTGCATCCAGCAAAATCTCATCTAAAGATGAACTGTTTATCTTTTCTATAATATCGGTGTGAAATAGCACCATTTAGACTCTAGTCATGTTCCTGCATAAGCTATTTCTTTGATATTAAATAACAAATCAAAGCTAATATGCCTTTATTGACTGAATTTATTCCAGATGGAAGACCCACAAATGGAGGAAGTGCCAGCTGGTCCCCTGGTCTCTCAGACGGGAATCTCCTGGAGCTCAAGAAACCTGTGGACCAGGAATTCAAACCAGAGGTTCAGATCTCCTCAAATCCCGTTTCCTTTTGCATCCTCACTGAACACATTCGGACATTTTTCCCTCATTTTGCTTCATTCTGAGCTGACGGCTGATCCTAGGTTTACAGGATTACTGGTTTCGTTTTTGTCTTTATTTCTTCCGGTGGTGTAGAACTCGGGATGGAAAGTTTTTCCACACCCCGCGGTGAGCCTGTTGAGATTTGGTTTGAAAAGTCGGAGTTGTCTCATTCTTGTTTTTTTTTTCAACCTCAGGCTAGAATCATGCAATATTAATCAATCGTCTCTTGTCGGAACTTAGAAGATGGCAGAAGATGCTGCGACTCTCCCAGAGCTCAAATCCATGTTCATTTGGGGTTAACACATAAGTGACAAGCACTTGAAAGGATGAAGTGCCTTTCTTCTCTCCTTACAGTAGCACATGGTCCTGGGAGGCTTGTGTAAAAATCCAATTTCAAGGGGTCACGCAGAATGATCAATTTCATTATGTTCCCCCTCCTATGGAAAGACGTCATTATTGCTTATATTTCTGTTTCGTTTCCACGAGCTTGCATTAAAGGACAGAAGAATCCATTCATTCCTCAGAAGGTCCACTTCACAGTCAGCATTTTTATTTGATTTTTTTTCAGATTCTGTGCAAGTTTGTAGTGATTTGATAGCACGTGACACCGGACATCCACATCCTTCCACAGCTATATTTTCACACCCACAGGATTTCACTCGCAGAAATGGCAGAAATCCTTTTGTCATTGACTTAAACCCGATAAGACACGCTGTCTTTCCTGCTCTGTGTTTTCTGACGGGTTTCTGTCCCTGTTTACCTGCACAGACGCCGTCCTCAGAGGGGGGGGAAAACCACTGTATTGGCTTAATAAAACACACAGCACTGAGAGCTGGTGCTCTTGTGCTATATTTTTTTTTCTCCCTCGAACACACACAGACACACACAGACACACACACAGACACACACGCAGGCACGATAAGGCTTGACCTCACACACCACCAGACGGAGGCTTTTCAAACCGATAGCGGTGCCCACGGGGGTTGTGCAAAAAAGAAAAAAAAGTGCTTAGAGATTGATTTTTTCCATGAAGGTGCAGCCCTGCAGCACATGCGCGTCACGAGAAAAATGAAATACTGCAGCAAACACAAGTAATGCCCTTTATTGAAAGAACAAAGAATATGATGATCCAGTTAAAGGCTAATTGACTTGTGGGCTTCAGACCAATTGAGGTAGAGATGCATTTATGTCTGCTCCTCTCTCAGTTTTATTCAACTCCCCCATGACATCTAGCTCGTTCAGTTCAGATTTTTCATTTCATGTTATTTTGTCGTGATCTTTAAAGACAATCCATGCCTTTTTTTCAAAGGATGACTGTACCAGTAATGATCACAACAGCCAGCTCACCTCCCTTCTCTCCTGTTTTGACATTAAAGATACATCCTAATATTACCACACTAACATTGCTTTGGACAGAAATTAAACCATTAAATTATATATACTGTGTACTCGGAGCCACAACCCCGAGTTGGTCCATTAAACTTTATTATTGGGGTTTATACGAAGCGAACTGGGCTTAATTTAAATTGAACAGGCTTATTTTTTACACTGTTTATTAATAAAATGACTGGATGCAGTTTAGATATAAAAATGGTGGATTATTTCTATTCTTAACTCATGCTGTGAGGTCTGGACAGCTTACTCAATGATACGTTCAGAACAACAGTGGGCCGTTCCAAAAAAACAATCCAGCCGTCCAAATTTATGCTGCCAAGAAGATAATTTATTTTCAATAAAATGTTCCATTTAAATTTCCATTTGAAGCACTGTGCAGCCGAACAACAGTGTGAGGATCTCTTAAGTAGAAGACTCAAATTTACATATATATTTTACATACATATATTATATATATTTTGCATATCAAAGTAATTCTATCCATCAAACGTTCTATTAATGGTTGTTCGAGACTGAGGAGCCCAGTTTCCTTTCATTCCATTCATGGTTCAATGGGAATATAATTTAGGGAAGTATAACACATTCCCATTCAACATTTTTACATGTTTTATGTTTAGGAATTGGGACTCATTCAACATATGGGGATGACATTTGTTACTCCAGACCATATCTGCCCATATAATGAACAAAATAAAGCTTCAGATAGCACCGGGGTAGCTTATCTTAGCAAATAAACTGGAATCTCTGAGGACAGCAACCCTGGCTGCTCAGCGGTATTAAGGTCAGCCTTTAAGCATCTTTAAAACTCATCTAATCGTGTTATTTCTGGCACAAAACCTGAAAGTTTTGCCCGTCAATGCTTTTTCTTGTTGTGTGCCGTATTCATAATTGAACCGGGTTTATTTTCCACTAACGTTTGTGATTCATGTTATTTAAAAAAATGCCAGTTTGCTAATAAGCTGCTATATTGATTAGCAATAAAACTGGATTTTTCTACTTAAAGGGCCTGGAGATAGCTTCTAATGTAAATTGCAGCTGTATGAAAAAATTGAAATGAATAAGTAAAAAATGTCAGGATGAAAAGAAATACATGTGGCTTATTGTCGCTTTAATCAGTTTATAAATAGCATTGAGCAGAAGCACAAGATCTAAAATAAAGTCCAAACTGATATTGGATAGAGATAAAGACACATGTATATGCATGCCACACATTTATATTAAATCCAGTTCCTGTATGTATCATTTCATTTTGGATTTGTCCCCTTGGACCCGACACTGTTTAATAATGTGCCATGTCCAGCGGTCAGTCTGCACAAACAACAAGCCATGACAAATGCCGCCATTAATATTCTAATTGAGCCTCTTTGCCCCGACCCCCCTCTTCTCTCTCCCTCTGTCCAGCCGTGTCCTGTCGCCAGCTGGACGGGACGCAGGCCGACATCGGCGAGTGCCTGAAATTCGCCAAAGCCATGCCGGCCGTCACTCAGCGCTGTCAGCTGCCCTGCCAGGACGACTGCCAGCTGACCGGCTGGTCCAAGTTCTCCTCCTGCACGGCCGACTGCGTGGGGGTCCGCACCCGGAAGAGGGCCTTGATCGGTCAGCAGAGATGTTCAGTAACGAAGTAGAACTACTTAAGTACTGTGCTTAAGTACCAAAATGCAGTATCTGTACTTTATTGGAGAAGATATTTTTCCCCCTACTTTTACTTTTACTCCACTACATATTTTGGATTATTTCAATACTTTTACTCCGATTTATATTTCATGGGCTGAATCGTTACTCGTTACTGAAATGTAAACGAAATGATAGATAGCTCTGTCAGGGTTTGGGAAGCTGGCTCCTCATTGGGCGATTTGAACGATCAAGCATAGCCTAATTTAAAAAAAAAGCCTCCCGAAAGAAGGTTAATTATAGCCTTCAAAAATTCCCCATCTAATCTGAAGACGCATATCAAGCTAAATTAAAAAATACAATGAAATATAAGCTAATAAATAAGCGCTAGTTCAGTTCTCCCTGTTCATTCAGGACGTGGCAGCTAACGTTAGCTAAAGCTAACCTAGCTGGCTAGCTGTATGCTACATTGCTAGCATAAAGGCTCAGCTCAGGATTCTGACTCTGGAATAATAAATAATAGTAGATGAAGTGCTGTTGATTGCTAATGCAGATTATACACCGTACTTGTACTTTTACTTATACTTGTACTTTCGATACTTGAGTAGCAATTTTTTAAATACTTCTACTTGCAATACTTAAGTACAAAAAAAATGGAGTACTTCCATACTTCCACTTAAGTATGGTGTTGAAAGAATACTTCTACTTCTTACTTTTACTTACTTTACTTTTTTTTACTTAGCACTTGTACTTCTACTCCACTCCTCTACTCCAGTACTTTAAACATCTCTGTCGGTCAGTGAGGGGCGCAATGACCGCCTTTGTGGCCGAGCATCGTTTGCCTCTGTTTTTATGCTGATGAGGCTCCGCCCGGTGAGGCCGGCGGGGCTTCTGAGGCCCCCGAAAAAGCGCTAAAGGGGGAAGCACCAGGTCATAAATCTATCCGGGTAGTTTCTTCCCACCCGGGATTAAAGCAACAACTCCGAACGAACGCCTCAGCATTCGCAATCCATCACCGTCACCGGAGAGTTGTCCGCCGCGTTAGCAGTCATAAAAGAGATTTGACAGCAGTGCATTAAGGCACCTCTAAGGGAGATTACCGGAATGGAGCCAGTCCACTTTAACTGGAAACGATTGAACGTGTAAAGGGAAAGCGATTGTTTTGTGTGTTTGGTACAATTAGAGCTAAAGCGTTTTTTTTTTTCTTATTCTCGTTTTGTGTAGAAATGCAAAAGGAAACGTGTTGAGTCCTGGTACATTACGCTGGAAAATCAACACGTCCAATGCTAATCACTTTACTTTAGACTTTATTACGGAACATAATTCCTTCGGTGAAAACTGAACCGCATCACGCCATCTGTGTAATTGAAGTGGGTGTCAATGTGCATTGTTTGTCAGGTGGGATGGATTTTTCTGAGTATTTCATGCAAATTACAGCTTGTTGCTTGAATGCTCTGGTCCGGGTGCAGAATAGACTCACCAAACCCACTGAAAACGATGCCCCCCACCCCTAAAAAAAAAGACACACTCACAATAGGTGAACCTGTTTTGAGTAGTCAGATAGAAAGTTTTCTCAGAATCTTCCCATTTGCATGTGAAACGGCTCCTAATGACGGACCGCCAGAGGGAGAAAGAAAGAAAGAAAGAATGATTCCCCCCACAGCTCCCAGTGATTAAGCACACTCAACATCGAACAGTTTCTGTTGAAGCGCATCCTTCTCGGAGCTAATTTTCCCTGATTAATCTATCACCGTGCTTCGCGAACGCATGTGGGAACACGAAACCAGACCCCCCGAAAACCTTCAACTCAGCTTGTTTGAGTCTGTGTGCTGGTGTCAGTAGAGATAAAGATCGCTCCTCTAAAGAGGATTCTCTGTTTCGTCTCCTTAGGAAGAAGCAAGAAGAAAGACAAGTGCAAGAACACGCAGATGTACCCCCTGAGCGAGACGCAGTACTGCCCCTGCGACAAGTACAACGCCCAGCCGGTGGGGAAGTGGTCGGACTGCGTCCTGCCGGAGGAGGGCCGGGCGGAGGGCTCCACGGGGATGAGGGTCAAGGGGGACGTGAAGGAGTGCGGTCAGGGCTACCGCTACCAGGCCATGGCCTGCTACGACCAGGACAACCGGCTGGTGGAGACCTCCCGCTGCAACAGCCACGGTGAGCTGAGATTTGTTCGCTAACGCTGGTTGGGCCTCGAATAATTTATGTTTTCGATGACCGCTGTAGGGTATTGTCGAAAGTCTTAATAAAAAATCCTTTATAGGTTGGAGCTATACTTTGTGGCTGACGCGTGTTCCAGGATCCGAAAAATAGTTTCCGCTGACGTCACGTTTTTTGCAATTTTTTTTTTTTTTAAACGAAGGCGATAACAAAAACACAAATAAATGATATACTTCCTAAACTTTCACGAATCTAAATCTAAAGTTACAAAACGAGCACGTCACGAGCATGTCACGAGCGTAACACGAGCGTAACACGTGTTAATTTCACAAAGGCAACCTTACTGGGCACCTGGCGCATAATTACCACGTCATTAAAGGCGCATTAAGTAACGTAAATATTTCTAATTCGCATTTTTAACTTGTAGATATTTTTAACTTCAATTATTAATGTCACTCATTAATTTAAATGACATATCAAATTCACATAAACAAAAAAATTCAAAATACACATAAATATACATAAATGTACATAAATGGGCATATGGCGCCTACAAGCGTTTTTGAGGAAACCTGCTGTTGTTCTGGGGCTGGAATTACAGGATTATTCAATTAGAATATTTGGAAAGCCAGGGAGGATAGACACATATTCTCCAAACTGTTTGTATAAATAAATTAAGTAACTTTTTTCTCTGTATTCGCACCTCTGAGATAAATGAGTCTCTCACACTGTCAAATCAGCAGTGCAGCTGACAACACTGTCAGACTCTCACCGATGTGCTTTTCTCTGCCTGATTTTCGTCAATCCCATGCCAGCCATGATCACGGCCAACAGGAGTTTGTTCCTATTTTCAGACATTTTTACCATTCTAGTTCACACATTTTGGAACGGAAAAGTCATTTTTTTACCAGGATATCTATTAAGGCTGGACAGGAAGTGGATTTATTGCCGTGGTCGGCTTTGAGGGCCAGTGCCTTTCCAGTCTCACCATAAAAAGAGTAATGTGGACTAAACGGCCTGATGCATAAGCGTGCTTTTGTGGGTAAACCGCAGTGGCCTGGAGCCGGCGGCATTGTGGGAGAACCGGTAGCTACTGATGTATTTCACTGTAGACGTGACAACAGTTTCTGGTAAAACAACGAGATGACTCTGTTTTGTTCTAAAACAAAAAACACACAAAATCTTCATAGAAAAGAGGAACAATGAGACTGCAGAGTTCTCTCAGAGGAGATGTTTTCCCTCCTGAAAACATCTGGCATGCCAGAGAGTTCAGGGATCTGATAGTTTTCCTGTTTTTTTTTACTGAATGGTTGTCCTACAACCTGCCCAGTCCACTGTCCAAAGGTACTCAGGCAAACAACATTTGATATTATTAAGGTTATTAATGGGAGTGTGCTTTCATGAAATATTCTCTTCTCATATGATGTGCTTTAAAGCAATTTTCCACAGGTGCCTCACCGCTCTCTGCTTTTGTGATGCCCTAAAAGCTGGATCCAGTCTTGAGGCGTAGTAGAATATATAGCAAATCCGATTTTTTCCCCCTCTCCTGCCTCCTCTTACTGCTTTCAGGTGCAAAATCTACTGTAGCTCACGGTAAGTTACGGATGCAAGAATAACTTGTTTCATGTCAGATATCCATCGGAAGCAAAGCGTTTGCTGTGAACGTGTGAAAGCTCAAACCTCAAACAGGATCCATTTTCAATCCGGAATTTCTCTTAAGTGAGCCTTTTTTTCCGTCACCGCCTTTTCAGAATCATTTGTCTCCGTGCTGTTGGGTCTTATCTTGTATCCAAAATACTTCAAGCGAAGATCCCCCAGCTCGGAAAACGCGTCGTGAAATTGCTGTGAAATAGAATGCGGGAGATGTTCAAATGAAAACATCACTGCTGCGCATACAAAAAAAAAAGAAAAAGAAAAAAAAATGGTTTTAGTCTCCTTTTGTGAGTCACAGATTCAGAAATGTGTCGGTTAATCTGAATGTGGGTGTGACAGGAGCACGTTGGAAGGACGAGGTTGTGTGTCTCTGTGCGTGTGTTGGCAGTCGGGGTGTATTTTTACACCTGTGGAGGGGTTTAAAAGTGTTTGTAATTCTCTGTTTGTGCGAGTTTATTGTCAGGCATTGTTAAGTTTAGAGAAAAAGCGTCTCTTTTGAGGCTCCGGCGGACATAGAAAACACAAATCTATCATTAAATTTCTCCCGTGTCTCACACCTTCCGCTACTTCCTGCCTCGCCGCCGTGTTAATCTGATCTCAGCCCAGCTGTGCTACCGCTAGCCCTTTGTTCAGGCACACATCACCAGATGAAAAAAAGGGCTTTATGGTGAAAAGGCGTGGCTTTTTGCATTGCTTTCGTCTTTTTATTTCCTGGTCACCGCTCAGTTAAAGCAAGTTACTATTGAAAAACAGAAGGAGGAACACATTGTGAAGAGTTTGAGAGGTGTAACACTGATATGAAAGGCTTTTGCAGACATCTAAATGCTAATTGCACAAAGCTTACCGGCAGAAATGAAGCAATCAGCGGCAAAAAAAGTGAGCGAGTGATGACACACTGATTGTTGTATCAGCTCCCAGCAATCACTGCCGGGAGTCAGGAGAGGACCCAGTGGGGTTAGGTTCAATTTAATCTAGGTTAAGATCAAATGGCCGCAGGCTTGGATTGATCCAATCAATCAGACTCAAACTCCTATTGGCTGATGTGTGTTCTTTAAAGTAAATGTGTGATTAGATTCCCGATTCACACTCTCACACTCTGGTCGATCGCTCCAGCGTCCCTTTGCCAGGTCGGGTTTGCAGACAGATGTCTGGTGTGCCGTTTCCTGGAAGATCAGAGGGCCGCAGCTCTAAAATTAGGATTTCGTTACAGAGACAAGGCTAAAAAGTAGTTTTGTGGATCCTCGAGAGATTGTGGCTCGGCTTCTGTTTCCACTCATTTGTAAATTTGAGTGCCGTTTTGTCATTTTGTGGTTTGTTTGTGTTTTCCTGGCCTGTGTTTGTTCCCTTCCCGGTTCCCCGGCTTCCTCCCAAAGTCCCAAAACATGCATGTTAGGCCTGTCCAGGGTCTGTTTCTGGTCCAATATCAGAATAGATAGGCTCCGGAGGCCCTACTAGGAATACGCGGGATGGATGGATGGATGGTTTCTGTCTTTGCTCCTTGGCCTCCTCTCCCATAGTCCCTCGCTATTTTTCCAGTCTGATTATCAGCTCAGCTCCCTTTCATCTGTGCTCGTCATCCTCAGCCGTTCTGATTCTCTAATCGTCCTTTTAGCTCTCCGGCTCCCTCGCTTTTGTCCGTATGTCACCGCTGTTGTTTGTTGCTTTTTCCTCATCCGGTTTTGGGGTGCTCAGGTTTAGTATTTGGAGCACCGTTTTCTTATAATAAGATGATTTTCATTTGCGGTCCGCCTCATTTAGCATTCTGACAAAAGAAACCAACAAGCATTGGCTTGATTATTACACGTGTTCAATAGAAAACTCCATCCCCAAATACAGTTGTGTTAGTCTCCTTCAGAAAAGCTTGTTTTTTTAATTAGTCAAACTAACATGTTTCATTACATCATAGAAGAAATAAGAAGCTCAAGTAATTAGGTAACAAACTTTTCGCAAATTTTTCATGTTGCTACAACGTGTAACTTGTTATTCTGTATGATCTTTCTTTAATTCTAATCAATTTTTTTATTCAATCAATAGGGCATCTTACAGCAAGTGTATATTTCCAATTACAAAGCAGTTGTGTTTCTTACAGAGTGGGTGGAAGAAACTGCAAAAGTTTTCCTTTTAATAACTAATCAACATCGTTATGCGGCACAGTTGAAAATGTAAAAAAAAAAGAAATTGACACTAAAATGGTCACTTTAATTCACGGTCAAATGAGCAACTAGAAACCAACCATCTCTTCCATCATTATAACGATCTGAGTTTCCAGCAGGATCAAACAGGAAAACAAGACTTATTTTAAAGAAGCATTGTGATATTGTTCCAAAAGTCAAAGTGAATCTGAAGACACCTGCTGCTTTGTGCCATATAAAGCAGTGTACTTTTTTTATGTCATAACCTCACAATCACAGATGACCCATAAGGCCCTCCTCTGCTGTGACCGGCCATTGGAGTGATGCTCAGGGGGTCCTGATCTCATCTTTGTGGACTTGTTAAATGAGGCGTCTGTAGAAAGCCGTAAAGTATTACGCTCAGGGCTCAGAGCAGATTTGTCGGTGCATGACGACCAACATTTGTAGCAACAGGTGGAAAACAGCGAGAGCCGGAGCCGTATAACTGAGCTTAATACGCTGACGTGATCCCGCCCAGGTTCCAGGACTAAGTTCAGCGTCCGAAAAGGTTGTGGCCACTTTTTCTCATTCATAGCCTGTTTGCTCCAGTGCAAGTGGATAGTCAAAGTGTTCACTTAAAGCTTCAGAACAATGTTTCCAGCACATAGAATTTGATTTTAAACAGCAGTGAGGGTGACTTAGCCTCTTTATTCCTGGTTGGATGGTTAAAATAAATCGCTAAGGAGATGATTCTTTTTACAGAACGGCTCTTGGTCTTCTTTACTGAGCGTAAACATCTTTCTGTCAATGCTGAACGTTTCCTTTCTTGTCTATTTTTTAATCTTTAACTTAACAGAAATGTTGCAGATAACTGCGCCTTCTTTAATCTGTATTACAGACTCACACGGTGTTCAAATAACACGCTGCTGCATATAAAGTGGAGAGCTTCAGCTCCGACTAAATGATACATGATCATTTAATGTATTTCTGTCTCAAATGATCTGCGTGGTTACCAGGGCAACAAGTCCTGCCAAAGGGTCAGCAATTATTTCCCACAGTGAGGGCACACATCAGGTTTTTTATTTTTTTATTTTTTTATTCATTTATTTTTTATTTTGTTGCTCTTTCACATTTAGCATAACATTTTGTAAAGTGTGTCTTTTTTCGCTGGCCTGATTTTATATTTTTGGTGTCAGCTGAAAAATGGAAACAACAATATTCCAAAAACACTCATGAATAATTAATCGGGGGATTATTTAACCTTGGGAATCAAAATTGGGGTCTTCTGGTTCTAAAATCTCGTATTTCGCCACTATTACCAGCCTCCCCAAAATGTCTTTTTCTTCCTTTCTTTTTAAATGCTTTTTATACTGAGTAAACAACCTCTGAATGAGTGTGTTTCTGAGTGGCTCTCTAATTGCGTTGTTTCCACGGTGATAGCATGTTTTTTTATTTTGTTTAAAAAAAAAGTTTTTTGATTTCTAAGGTTTCTTGGAGATCAGATTGTGTAATTAAAACATACATTTTCATAGGATGATCATAGGATAATTCTCAATTTATGCGTTTATATAGTTTATGAAAATAAATATTTTCAGACTTTTGATTTGTAAAACCTAATATTCTATGAGATCTGTACGAAATAAAGTTCTAAAAGTTTTACCAGATTACACCGGGGTGATCCAGGCAGCTGTGTGTTTCATTTATGGGGAGATTTGTGGAGGATTGGTCTATCGTTTGTTCTCTATTGGCGGCGTGTTTTCACCTTTTTACATCATTTCATCTCTTGTAGGATCAAACATGCTGTCAGCGTGCGTTTGATTTGATTTTTTTTCTGTTTCCAAAGAAAAAAAAGTAAGCTAGGGATTTAAGGATGCATGCGTGAGCTATTTGTTCTATAGATCTGATCATGGAAAATCCAACCTGTTATTTATTAGAGCCTTTTCCTGATGGTTAAATCATGCCTATGCTTCATACCATTTAGAGATTTCCACATGTCTGCAGAGTTCCTCCTCATCTGGTGGAAGATTTCAGCATATCATCATTATCCTGAGTGGGTTTTAATGTCTTTGGTTGGTAAAATTGCTCTCATTGTCTGGCAGGTTGATTTCTAAAGCCATCTGCGGCGATGGTGCACCTGGACTCAGTAAAAAAAAAACCTCCCAGAGGGGGCGAAACACCTTTAAATGTTGATTTCAGTCGAGCTATAAACGAATCGCGCGTTGAGGCGTTGAAACATCTGCTTCTATGTGGCAGCATCAATGTAGAGAGTGACTGGACCGGAGTGTAAGGAGGTCAGAGGTATTTTAGAGGCCGCTGAGGACTTAGAAATGAGGAGTTCCTGAAGTGGGTTTAGAAAAGAGGGCACGCAGACATTTTAGAGCTCGATGTTGGTAGTTAATGAGTGTTATGTCCTCTTTTGAATGATTTAGTCAACTTCAATTTAAAAATAGTCCTTTTTCTGATAGATATAACTTTGCCCTCCTGTTGTGTTTTTTAGTTTAGTGTTAGTTTCTGGAATTTTCCGTGTAACTCCTATGAGCTCCATCACTGGTGCCTCCTTGTCTGAGTTCACCAGGTTTCTGTTACTTACCTACACATTGTTAGGTATTTTCATCTCGATTTTGTGTTATGTGTTGGGTTTTTTTTATGTGAACCACTTACAGTTTGTTTTGTTGGTTTTAGCAAAAGGTTGTACAGTCTGTGAGTCCTCAATTTGGTCAACATGCTGGTACTAAGTGGACCTTAAAAGCATTCAAGACTCATATGCTCCATCCCACTTGGTTGAGTTTTATCGATATTTTTACCAAGAAGAAGCATGAAAGGAAATGGTCAATATAGGAACACGGGTAGATAGCAAGTAGAGAGAAAGTCAGGAGGACTGCAGTTGCTTTTATGTGATACAAAGGTATTTCAGATTATTTTAACGAAACAGATGTTCTATTTGCAATTGAAAGATTCTTCAAAATCGTGGCTGCACAAGTGGGACAAAGGTTAAGAGAAACAATCTCTCTTTTTGTGCACTTGACTGTATCTTGGTTTGCGTTTGCCACTGAAAAAACAGAACAAAATCACAGCCCAAGGGTGGGAGAAAGCGCCAAGAAGAAAAAGGCAAAAATAGCTTACCACCACTCTGACCCAGTGAGCTGCGGAAATAGGACTGAAATAATGAAGCTCGCCCTGAGACACGGCTTCTGCTTTGGTGGATTTTTTTTTACATTTCTCTAAATGGCCAGAAACTGGGCTTCGGAGTGTGGACCGCACTTTCATTCCGCTCGGCTTAAAATCAAGACTTGAATTTAAATTAGTGAGGGAATTTAATTCTTTATCGGCTTGCATTTTGTTCCTTATCAACACATTCAAGAGATTTGTAAGACAGAAAAGTAAAACAAAGCTTTGGGAATTAAGACAGACCGAATGAAGAAACTCATTTCTTTAGTGTAGTTATTCCAGTTTCTTTTCCCCTTAATAATAATCTGTCGGCATCAAGAACAAAGAACGATTCAATATATACATGATTTATTAAAGTTGCATTAAAAATGGAAAACTTTTTTTTTTTTTCCTTTAATCATCTGTAACCGTCTTACAGTTTTTAAACAAAAACTAATAATACGGGCCAGATTCAACCTGTTAAAGCTAATTTGTTGTTTTTGTTCTGCCTGCAGGGTACATTGAGGAGGCGTGCATCATCCCCTGTCCGTCAGACTGTAAACTCAGCGAGTGGTCAAACTGGTCGCGCTGCAGCAAGTCCTGCGGGAGCGGGGTCAAAGTTCGCTCCAAGTGGCTTCGGGAGAAACCGTACAACGGGGGCCGGCCGTGTCCTAAGCTGGACCACATCAACCAGGTACGGACAGCTGAACCTGAACCTCCTCCGTTCTCCCAGGAGCCCGAAAACGCTCACGGTTGTTTCTTTTCAATATTCATGAACCCGTTCTCCTGTGTGACCGTTCTTTGTTGGAAGGATTCTACATATTCACCACCAGAGAGTCGGAAATTATTAATGAACAGTAAAGTCTGCGTAGCTTTCCTTTTGCCCTTCTGCTCATTAGTGCTGAATTCATTATTTTTAGCTGGAAAACGGGCGCCTTCTACCATTCCAGTGCCCCCCGACATGCGATTCCTTGTTGATTTCATGATTTGCAACGCGAGATGCTTTTCGGGGGGTTTGAGAACCAGCAGGTTCAGATTAAGGCTGTGTTGCTCTGCATGTTGCAGTGTGCATGCAAAGGCTTTTCTGTTTTACGTGCTCTCAAAGGTTGCATTAATCATTGGTTCTACACTATACGAACAGTGGGATTATGCTCATTAATCCATCTGTCTCCTTTTAATCCGCCGCAACGCTCGCTGGATGTGACTGGTGGCCACAGGCTCAGGTAAGAGCAGCTTTCCTCCACTGTCTGAAATCGAGTCATAGATGAGCGCTGCCATTCGTGTTAGTGGGTCAGTTACAGATAAATGACCGCAAACACAACATAGCGGGTTGGCTTCGCATTTGGAGACTTTTTTTACTGGGGCAGAAATAATCTCTCTGGCAGAGTTGACTCAAAGAGTTAATATGTATTATCACACTAACTGAAAAACCTGCCCAGGACCAAGTTTATCCTGCTATTTTATTATCATATACTATATATATTATTAGTTTTTAGCTAGATACCAGCTAAAACTAGATACTGGTGTTTGGCCAGGTCATTTTAGATTTCTACAAGATCATAAAACCATGTTTGATCATTGATATTGATGAGATTGGATTGATAATGGCCCTCAGGTGTATGAGGTGGTCCCCTGTCAGAGTGACTGTAATCAGTACGTGTGGGTCGCTGAGCCCTGGAGCGTCTGGAAAGTGAGCAACGTGGACCTGAAGGAGAACTGCGGGGAAGGGGTCCAGACCAGAAAAGTCAGGTATTCACACCTCATTCTACCTCTTTCTGTGTTTGGATTGTTTCCAATCAATAACAAAGACTTACCATTACTGTCTGTTTGTGAAAAAATTGGAAAAAAATGCATAAATAGAACAGGACAAATTTTAAATGACTGTGAGTTATGTGAGTTTTTTAATTAATCAACATTTACGTCACTAACAAATATAATTAGCTGTCTTTTTTAAACCTAAAACCCCTGTAGGGGCTGCACTGATCAGACCAACATATCCTCTTCATACCTCCATACGCTCATACATATACATTTGTGGATCAAATTAAATCAAGCGACTAAGGAGATATGCAGCATCCGACAGGCTTCACCAAAACATCCCTGTACGCCCAAACCACTCAGGAATAAATCAAACAGAAGGGCCACTCTCCCTCCCTCTCTGCTGTGCTTCAGCTGCCTCCCCCGAAACCCTCTCCCCGCACAGGAGGAGGTCACGCGCAGACATCCCAGTCACCGTGGCAACGGCTGTTTTTTTGCATATCTCATTACGAGCGCCAGGATGGGCCGGAGAGAGCCCGGCGGTCCCTTTCATGTGTTACCGTCGGGGCCCGCTGACAATTTCGGCAAATATGAGGGACGAGGTGGTTTTCATTGAAGTTAGAAGTCCCGGGCTCAAAGGCAGCTGACGTCTGAACGCTCTGCTTTTTCTAGAGTTTAGCCCGCATCAACATTTATGTGCAAATAAAAAGCATCTGAGCAACAAAGAGCCCCGTGTGTGGTCGCTGGTGGTTTCACACTGACAAGCATCCACCACCCCGGGAAGCAGGTGGAATTGGCAGGGAAAATGGCACTGTCCTGTATTTTGCTCCACTGGGGTGTGAAATCTAAATGTTGAGCCAGAAATTCTTCAAAAGTCCTCATGAATCTGCCAGCGGAGGGAATTCTGACAGATCCTGCTCAAGCAGAGGTTTTGGAGACTGTTTTATGGTCTGACGCTAGTCTTGTTAGCATTTGATACGGATCAGCTCCGAAAGACTATTGTATTATTTTATCTTTATTTGATAAGTTAGTTGTGTTGCAAGTATTTTCCTAAAAGCTCAGGGAATTGAGTTCTTAGCTACACTGTATTATTTGAGCAGACATTATATGTCAACAGGTTATTTCTCGTCTTCTAAGGAGAAGTAAAGAAGATATATGAACTTGGAAGGAGTGGAAAATAGTATATAAATCACATATACAACGCTGTACTCACTGTGCATTCAGCAGGGAAGGAGGGGGATTTATGAGATAACACTCAGAGCTATGGAACTGGTTTCCAACCAGTTTAACACCTGGGGATGATAACTAGGAATATGCTTATTTTACGAAGATCATTTGGCAAAACAGTTTTATTTTTATGAGGCACAACAAAATGTAAGCAGGGCTTAAATCCAGATAAAAATCGTATCCATATACTTAGGTTAAGATAAGGAAACAGCTTTTCATAGATGGCTGTTTGCTCAATAAGCAGCGAGCTCTAGATTTAATCACAGCCGCTATTCTGTGGCGAACGAGCCAAGAATAAGTTTAAATTGTCGAGTGAATGCAACTAAGAAGAACTCTGACATCATTTCTTCCTGAATGTAAACACAAAGGTGATAAATTACTCATACATTTTCTATTCTTTTTCTCTAAGTTGAATATTGGAGGTGGAAATAAATATGGAGAGCCTCTCTCCTCTGTTTCAGAAACACAGCGTTCAGTTTTAACGTCTCTTTCATTTCTTTTCGGAAACAGAAACCTGGTTAATAAAACAATCCAGCTGAGTGTGTTTTCCATCCCGCAGGTGCATGCTCAACACGGTAGATGGGCCCTCCGAGTCTGTGGAGGACTACTTATGTGACCCGGAGGAGATGCCTCTGGGGGCCAGGGAGAGCCGGCTGCCCTGCCCCGAAGACTGTGTGCTCAACGACTGGGGCCCCTGGAGCCGCTGCAGCCTGGTGAGAACCCAGAGTCCACACAGTGGGTGCAGACTTTTGTGATGTTCTCCGAGTTTTAAGTGAACATCACGCTCTTTATTTCCCCTAAAGAGCCCCGAATTCAAAGCTTCTTTCGAGATGTTGGGGAATCTACGTTAAGCTGTTTTTTTCACCCTCCAAGGAGGAATAGAAATGATATAGGAGCAAAGAAGCTGGGAAAATGGTTTCTAAATCACCTATATAGCCCTGTACTCGCAGTGCGTTCAGCAGGGAGGATGATTTACGATCGACACTCAGTAACTATACAGGTTTCCAGCTCCCACTTAAAGATGTGCGCACCTACGTCTATTAGCTGGAATTATGCCTGGTTTCTAAACATCATTTGGCAGTAAGCCACAGTTAAACATTATTAGTTATCTTCACAGGGATATAAGTTCAGAGGAAATCATTTTTATTGAAGAAGGTGATGTTGGAATAAGTTAAATATAAACCTATAAACATAAATACACTTTTTTTTTTAAACAAGGCAACTTTTCTTTAAGAAACTTAAGCTCCCTGATTTCTTCAAAGCTCCTGGGTTCAAATCTTCACGTCAAAGCAGATACACAATCATGGCTCTTTCTTTTAGGGAACATGTCGCTGTCAGGGCATCCTTTTTCAGGCCCTCCACCCCTGATGAGTCACACTCGTGGTGAAAAGCCGCTTTAACTGCACTGTTTCACCTGCTGTTCTCCCACTAGCTCCCCGGCCATTGTTAATCACACCCCATTCTCTCCCCGACACCGACTTCCCACAAATGCAGTCCCGACATGGAGTCTGCAGAGCCTCCCACATGTTTTATTCATCACGCTAGCAATGGAGCCGTTCAGAAGGGCTGTCATTTTCTCCTCCGACTCTCCTCTCTGCAAGCTAGGAGAATATGAGGGTTCACCAGTCCCGTAGAATATCTGTTTCACTCATCCTGTCAGCTCCGGAAAAATCATAATTCTGCATTTTGAGCAGGTGAGGCTTGGTTTCCTTGTATCAATATTCATTTGAATGGAAACAAGCAGTTAATTCACAGAGGAGGTTACTTTACTGGTTAAAGGATGAGTTGTTTAACCTCCTTAGACTCAAGCCTTTATATGGTGTGCATATTTGCTTCCTCCAAGATAAATGGGCACCTAATAGGTTTAATAGCTAAACTGTATTAATGCAATTAAAAGTTTTTGTTGCAATTTGGTTCTGAGGGTCCAATGGGTCTTCACAATGAGTACATGATTAAATTAAAACATATAAAACCATTTTGTCTTAGATTTCAGTGTCTAATAGTGTCTGTATGAGGCCAAGCTGAAAAGAAAACTAAATATCATGGTACAGAGAGGCAAAAACTCCGGGTCTCTGGAGGGCGATCGTTGAACAAATAGGAAAATCCGCTCAGTTAGAGCCTTTACTAACTTGTTCCGGTACAGATTCCTTCATAATTTTTACCCTCTTAAGGCTCCAGCTCGGTCTCTGTTGCAGCCCTGCAGCAGAAGCAACAGTCGGGTGCGGACGGCCTACCCGCTCCGCTCCCCCAGCGTGGGGCGAGAGTGTCCGGAGACGACCGACAAAGAGCCCTGCAGTCTGAATCTCAACTGCTTCAACTACTTCTACAACATCACAGGTAAATGTCCAGGAAAACCTCTTAGCGAGTGGTACCACCACTATCGAATGAAGTCCGTCTTTTATTACCATTAAAACCTTTTCTCTACCAAGTACTGGTATTTCTGGCTGTGATTTGGGGCTCTGCTTAGATTTGACAGCACTGAAAGGAGAAAAAAAACATCAGTTTTTCCAAAAAATGAATAATTTAATTGAGTATATTTAACCTGGCAGCCCCCTTTTTTGGCTCTTTAACCCACAGAACACACCCCCACGTTGCCTTCTGTCTTGAAAGTGTGAGCAACTTTTTCAACAGAGAGAAAAGGGGTCTGTTCTGGATTTCATCAGATTACGATGTGTCCCATTTTTTTTTTTCTTTTTTCGTTGCACGGAGACCCATGAAATGAGTCCCCGCTGCTGTGTTCACACTGTGTCCCCGGGTACATGTTCTGTATAACCGAGCGGAGGATATTGTCGGGTAAAACACCCTTTTTTTCCGCTGCTGGTGCAGAAAACCGTCCCCTCCCTGTTTTCCCGCCTCTCCTCCTTTGTCTCTTAGTGTGGCTCTTTTTTCTTGTTGCGCGCTCCTCGTTTTCGGTCTCTGGAGCGACAGAAAGCTGCTTCACAGAAGGAAACGCGGTTCCCCCGAATTGCAAACGAGCTCTCCGCCGCGGCTAAAAACAGCCTCTCATCTGAGTGTAAACCTGCTTTTTTCTCTCTCTCTTTTTTTTTTTTCTTTTCTTGTACAAAAAAAAAACACTGGTTGTTTGAAGACCCCGTGAACTTGAGGCTGATATGAATCGCGGCCTTTTCTCCACGCACACACTCCGTTTTTTGGAAAAGAGTAAAGTTCAGACATTTGGAGTTCTGACTTTCCTTCATGATATCTGTCAGGGGAAACGAGTAAAGATGCTGCTGGAGTTTTATTTCAGAGCATGAAGCTTCAATCGGAACATATTTCAAGAAACATTGGATGGAAGGAAGGTTTTTAAGGCTTTGAATGATCTCTATGCAAAAATAGTAGACGTCTGCTATCAGAAGCATGAACCAGTAAGTCCATCCGCAAAATAGTCAAAATACAATTACGCAGAAATCGTCTTTTGGTAAAGAAAGAGCTACAAGCAAAAGTTTGCAATGCAACAAAGGTGCTTAACGGAGGTCAAACGCATTTATGGGGCACGCTCGCCACTCTGCTGAGTCATCAGGAAGCTGGAAGTGGTCACTTTGTTTTCGGGCCACGTACATCCTAATAGCTCTGTCCAGATATAGACCTCAAAGGATTTTTTTTTTTGCGTGTCAGCAAAATAACCGGTAATTAATTTTTGACAGTGTTTCCCTGTGCACACAAACTGGATCACAAACTTTTGGACTAACCGGATGCAACATCTTAATGGTAATATAAACGAATACATCAATACAGTGCTCCTTCCAAAATAATCATTTAAAGTAATTTTTTTCAGGACAAAAAAACATGAGACTGGTATTATTTTTTCCTTTTAATGCAAAAATATGTAAATGCTTTGAAGTCTAGAGCCTTTAAACATGCCCTGTCAGCTTAATGGCTGCAGATCCAAGTTGTGTGCTTTTGTTTACTCTGTTGAAATCCAACAGAACAGGTTGAAGGGGGGGGGGGGGCGGGTGGGGGAAGTCTGTTTTTTTGTGTCAGCGCTTGCAGCTGAGCGTCTGAAGCTAATCCTGACGTAAAAAGACAACCCTGGTCCTTTGTTTGGGTTACAGGGGTCGGTTTAGATTTGCAGAGGAAGAGTTTATACTGTGCGCTCAGTCCAGCACTTTTCAACTTAATCTCCACCCAACCAATCACAGCTTTTATCTATTTCATTTTCAGTTTATTGTATCTCTCTATTAGCTGTTGGGGTTCAATCTGTTGGCAATCCAGAATCTCATAAACTATTCATTCATTCTTAATTAAAAGAAGAAGATAGTGAATAAATCATATGTATAGTATGTCAGATGTAAAAAAAACTAAGATGAAAAGTATGTTTCAGCTAATTATCTTAAATGCTAATA